TTTGCAATAGTCCAATGTATATCCTACCTTTTAAAATAGGCATTGAGGTAATAAAGCATTAAGCATTAAGGCAATAAGCATTTAAGGCATGCTTGCTTAAGCATGCCTAAAACCTTTTATACTTCACCCCAAGATGAAGAAAAAGTCACACTGATTTTTTTAGCACTTGGAAAAGGAAAATTTCGGTAGAGGATGAATAATTTGTACTTCTTAACAAAAGCATTGAATGTCTACTTCTCAACCCTTAGTGGTAATTGTTCGAAATTCTGGAAGTTGGAGTTTGATATGGTCATTTGTCAGTTGAATTCACACAAATCAAGTGGTAGGCTTATCAGTTATTTCTTAACACAGTAAACTGCAAGATGCCTATTGTCACACTTGTATTACAAATATATGAAAGAAAGGAAAAACCAAGAAAAGTGCAGATAATACATCTGAGATGTCAACAAGTCATTTTTATTCACTGAACATAGTTTGTTGAACTTAAAGTGAGGAAATGACTTCAAATTAAAGTTTGGTTTCAACGTCAATTCACATCCTATAACTGAAGATTTTGTTATTTGTATATGTAAAAGTGCCATTTTTAGTAAAGATTTCTGCATTAAGCATTGGGGTATTACATGGAATAATCCATGACCTTTAAACTTAATCTTATATAATTGTATAAATATTTCATAATAATGCCCTCTGTTTTTCTAAATATGGATACATTATTTATATGTGGAATAGTTTAAGGTAAAGAGTTCACTCCATAGGCAAAAATGGTTCATAAAAAAACTTACAAAAGGTCTAGGTTTTCAAGCTTTATCAATGTGCAGAAAGTCATGTTTGCTGATTTTGCCCTTTTCAAAAATTGGTGGGGGCATTTGAACACAATTTTTGTCCTGGCAGTGGGAATTTCAACAAACCAATCTTTAAAAGTTCAAATACCTGGGAAGCTGCCAGGAAAAAGGGGGGGGGATGTTGAAGATTCCAATTGATTGATGTATTGGTAATAAAAGGCAACCAAATATAAACCATTATGTGATTAAGCTTGTGTGCATTTCTGGGGAAATGGTGTATCAGTGATATGAAAATATGGGGCAGCTGACCACAACAATCCAAATATTAACCGTTTCACAAGACATAATCAAAACCATTGCAATTTGATTAAGATTTATTCATAAACTGTCTTCTGCTTCACTTCAGAGGTGAATAGTTGTTGTTGACATTACTAAAGATGAATAACACAACTTTTAGGCGAAAACTGTCTAATCAATTCATTTACTTATGGCGATGTTTACAGCAGATGCTGTCTCAGATCATAACTTTGTAGTTTAAAAAGAAGCCCAGTGTATGAAAGTTACAAACAACTAAAGATTTGATTAAAATGGTTTAATAACTAAATAAATGAATAAATAAAAAGCTGCATTAAAATACACAGTGATCTAAAAGGAGTGAATTGGTCACCTAATGAGTAGCTCCCAGACTGAGGATCCAAAGGACACCAGTGTTTTCTCCAAAATGTTGTGAGCTTTCAATATATTTATTTATTTTAATTGTTCCGGTGATAATGGAGGTGTGCACACTCTAATTTGTTGAGGATTGCATCGCACCCCCATGTGCAATTTAACAGGGAATTCCCTTGTCAGGTAATGAATTTTCCTAGAGAATTCGAAAGCACCTGAGCAACTATACTATTTTTTATTTGCTGATGGCGAAGTGAATAATGTTGAGTAATTCGCTTGAGAAATATAAATGGTAAAATTTCCGCACAGCCCCATACTATTATAAAACAAATCTGAATTCCCAATGGCTGTGCATTATTTTTATCATTGTTTTCTCTATCCAAGAACTGAATGCACAATGTAGTATATAAGTAAAAGGAAAAAGTTTTTGACCCGCCATGTACCTCTTCAGAAAGCGGACAAGATCAGTGAAGATCAAGTTCAATTAAGTCGTTGTCGTAAAAGTTCACTAGCAACAAAACTTGAAAACTTGCTAAATTATGTGAAATTATTCGTAGTTTCCGGGAACAGGAGTATTTTCCAAATGCCTTTACAAGGTTTTTTTCAGGTTCAAAAAAAGAAAATCAGATTCCATTTAGTCGTTTTCGGTTTGCGTGAAGTCCCCTTAACGTTAAGCTTGAAGACATTACTGTTTACAAGTAGGTAAGATCGCTGCCACTGTTCGAACGATTTGATGCGTTCAATTTACCTTGACCTTAAGTGTGACATACTTACTTTCACGACTAAAAGGCAGATGGCGGCAAATGGCGTCCTGAACGAGATACGGACGACGAGTAGTGCTCGATCGGGCATGCGTGGTAGTATCGAAGTTTGTTTTCCCAACTTCCGGACGGTGAAGCTCACGTTCTCGTTGTCACCAAAGGTCCGAAATGTAAAAGTACGACGAAGCTACCCATGTTTAACGAGTCATTACCAACAATGTTGAAGATAAGGGCCTTTCCGCACTAGCGGACGAACTAGAATTGTTATGCAAATTTTTATTTCGTCTGTTGCATCCATATGAACAATTTCAAAGCCTTCAAATTCCGTCGGCGCCTGATCTGTTCATAAGACCGGCCAACATAGTTTCCAAAGGATTCCACCTCCAATCTCCAGGATTTATCCCAAGTCGTTTTAAATTTTTTTTAGAATCCCTGAGATTTGCAGCAAATAACAATTAAAGTTTTTCTATAAAACTGGTTTTAGTTCAATTACACGCTTGTCGTAGCTCATACGACAAATGATTGACAAGGTTATCACGGTTGTGTTTATTCAGTCAATTTTGCTAAATTTAAAATTTAAAAATTTTGTCGGCGGTGCGTCTAAAGATTTGTCTGCTTCAGCCAAAATATGTTAAATCGGGACAAACCATTTATACTTATAAAATGTTGGTGACAGAAAATTTGTCTGAATAAACAACTTTGTCGTCAGAGCAGAAAGGGCCCCAACTCCACTCATCGTCAACACGGCGCCGTATTCAATTCTTATCAATAACGACTGTCTGTTGAAATTGTCATGACGATTATCAACTCGAACGCTAAGCGTGAATAAAAAGTACGAGCGAAGCAAAATCGCTCTTATGAAAGAAGTATTTCCTGAAATGTCGTGCGTAACATTTATATGTCAATTCTGCAAGCGACTCGTATTTACGTAAACAGGACAGCGCGCGTGGGAATTTAACGGGGTCACGATTCTAAAGTGTAATGTGAAACTACTTACTGGAGTTTCAACCTTACTTTTCAAAAGCTTCAAATCGCTGACTTTTGAAACCGTGCTCACGACCGTTAGACCCAAATTTTGAGATTAAGACGGCGATGTACTCCGTTTCGATAGGAAGGGTATCGGCGGGATCATAATTTAGCTTTAGTTACGAGTTACTCGACTTCTAAGACATTAAACCCGAGCTATTTCAAAAACAAGGAAGGAAGAACGGGGAATGGGGAATAGAGAATGAGGAATGGAGAATAAGGAATGGAGAATGAGGAATGGAGAATAGGGAATGGAGAATGAGGAATGGAGAATGAGGAATGGAGAATGAGGAATGGAGAACGAGGAATGGAGAACGAGGAATGGAGAACGAGGAATGGAGAACGAAGAATGGAGAACGAGGAATGGAGAAGGAGGAATGGAGAATGAGAAATGGAGAATGAGGAATGGAGAATGAGGAATGGAGAATGAGGAATGGAGAATGAGGAATGGAGAATGAGAAATGGAGAATGAGGAATGGAGAATGAGGAATGGAGAATGAGGAATGGAGAATGAGGAATGGAGAATGAGGAATGGAGAATGAGGAATGGAGAATGAGGAATGGAGAACGAGGAATGGAGAACGAGGAATGGAGAACGAGGAATGGAGAACGAGGAATGGAGAACGAGGAATGGAGAACGAGGAATGGAGAACGAGGAATGGAGAACGAGGAATGGAGAACGAGGAATGGAGAACGAGGAATGGAGAACGAGGAATGGAGAATGAAGAATGGAGAATGAAGAATGGAGAATGAGGAATGGAGAATGAGGAATGGAGAATGAGGAATGGAGAATGAGGAATGGAGAATGAGGAATGGAGAATGAAGAATGGAGAACGGGAATGGAGAACGAGGAATGGAGAACGAGGAATGGAGAACGAGGAATGAAGAACGAGGAATGGAGAACGAGGAATGGAGAACGAGGAATGGAGAATGAGGAATGGAGAATGAGGAATGGAGAATGAGGAATGGAGAACGAGGAATGGAGAATGAGGAATAGAAATACGGAATGGGGAATGTGGAATGGAGAATGAAAAACGAAGAAAGGGGAATGGAGAATGGGGAATGGGGGAAAAGAGAATGGAGAATGGAGAATGGAGAGAATGGAGAAGGGAGAGAATGGAGAATGATGGGGGAATGAGGGAATGGGGGAAATTTAGAGATTAAGACGGCGATGTGCTCCGTTTCGATAGGACGGCTATCGGCGGGATCATAATTTAACTTAAGTTTCGAGTTACTCGACTTCTAAGACATTAAACCAGGACAGTGCTATTTTAAAAATAAGGAACGAGGAATGGGGAATGGGGAATGATGAATGGGGAATGATGAATGGGGAATGATGAATGGGGAATGATGAATGGGGAATGGGGAATCGCTCTGACGAAGGGATAACGCTCAAAACAAGCAAGCAAGCTGACTGTGTTGAATAACAAAAACAAAAATGTGCTTAAGACATGCGCTTTGACGCGCGCTTTTTTTTTTCTTTTTGTGCAGAACGCAATGAAGCGTGCAAAGGTTTTGCTGGTGCGTTGGCCATGTACCTCTTAGCTGTACTATACATACATACATATATCTCTGTCTGACGAGTGCGTTAGCACGAAACTCAGAGTTACAGGGAGTCATGCGTGTTTCATTTTAGTCATTTTGAAATACATACATATATATGTGGGAATTTGATCCGGACTCGAGCTCCATAACCCTTAATATTATTTCTTTCTCCTTTAGGTTTAGATTTTCAATTTCCAGATCAAGCGTTACATTTTCTTTTTTTAAGGACAGCAAGGTGCAAGTATTGCCAACATCTGGAATACTAAAGATGGAATGATATCAGAATAGATACTGGAGTTGCAATCTAGCTGTGACGCTTCACAGGGGTCTGAGGGTTCACAGGTTTCCGGGAGTTCACAGGGTGAAGTGACAGGCTGTAGTTTACATCCAAGTCTAAGAACTTCTATATCCACTGTTGATGAGCTTGAAACTTGTGCTGCATATAATTTGTACAAAATGTATGAATTCTTTAATTCTTTAGTTCTTGTGAGCAGTTCTACCATAAAGTGGTGTATACATTTCCTTGAAAATTACCCAAGGGAATTGGATGTAACACTCCTATTCATTTAGGCAATATATTTATTGACATAAGTGGACTTACCAGAATCGACGCCCCACGAAATGCCGCTGAAAGACGGGTCTGTTTCGAAAATCTCGATAATTTTGGCTGTGGTAGCCTTTGGAGAATCTGGTTTCATTCCACCCCTGGTCTTCTTTCTAGCAGTGGTACATTTGCTGTGTTCTTTCTTTGCTCCACTCACCATTCCTCTCCACTTGACAGATCTTTTGGAAAATCCGAGCGCATTGACTTTGTCAGTTATTACCTCCCATACCCGACTCTCGCGTTTGTTAGAAAGTGTCGTGGAAATTTTACTCTTGACTGTTTTAATATTTTCTTCCGCCTCTTCGAAAATAACTGTCCATTCCGCAGGTGTAAAGTTTGGTTTTCTGGCGCGCTTTGCAGGGGAAAAAGCAACATTTTGTGCCATGTTGTCTCGCCACTAGCACGCGCAAGCCAAAAGATCACGCAACGCCTGGATTATCACGATGGCAACTGCCTGGACAGCGAGTTAGCCTTCGGATAACTATACGCCTCGCCATCCGTGCTTTTTGCAACAGCTTTTTATCCCCTGGATAGCCATCTTATACATCGCATAAACTTATCCAGTGGATAAATTTATCCATCCTTTGAACAATGGGATGTTTGATGTTTGCTTTGATGTTATTTTGTAGAGGTAGAACGGTTACATTAAGATCGGCACTCATGAAAGGACTAGTGCCCGCGACTCATAGCGAGGACTAGGTCCCTCCAAATAAACTGCCGTCTAAATTTTTCATCAGATGGTCTAGTCACAGGGTCCAAAATATAGTTCTTGCGACTTGTCCCACGAATTCGAACTGGTTTGAATTCGTGAGTGAAGTCGCAAGAACTTGTCTCGCCAAATTTTCCAGGTTCCTGGTGAACTGTTCGTGGGACAAGTCCTTGCGACTAAATGAAACAATCCAATCACTTCAAAAGAGAAATATAGCGATGGAGGTGACCGCTTTGTAAGGGTAAGAATTACAATGATAGAGGGGAAAATTTTTGAGACTTTGGTGACCGACCGCTTAATACAGGGTTACCGCTTAATACGGTGTCGTTTAATACATATTCGACGGTTTTTCAAATTTGGTTAAAACTACTTTGTAATCAAAGACAGTTAATTTTCAGAAATTTCTCAGCTAGTAGTATAATGTTTGTGATGGGTGGATAGCGATATAAAAACCAGTCGGAATTTTGAGACGCCAATACCGCTTTACATTGGCGGTTAGCTAATTGGGAGAAAATACATTGTCCCAATACTACAATATATTTCACCTCGACTAGCCACCAATACAATTCAATAATGGCGTCTCAAAATCGCGATTTTTATTAGATTTCATCCTTCTCTTTGCGATGAACTAATATTTTCTACCATAGGAATAAATATTTTTATTATCCGCAGGTTTAAAAGTTCAAAATGGGGTGACTTTAACCGGAACCAAAATGATCTTAACAAGGAGAGGCAAAGTTACCACTTTTTTGATTTTTATCCTTGGTTTGACCACCTTTCTCTTGTACGCCTCATACCAAGCGAAGTTCGGACAAGAAATTAGCCAACCCACTCACAGCAAAAGAACAATGGGTAAGTCAACGAGTTAGAAATGATTTACAGCATTAGATGCTCATCACATGAATTATGCCGTTAAAGCCTAAATTAAGACGCAGGCAAATATTTAGGAAAATAAAAGTAACATAACTTAGTTCGAACAAGGGAAATAACAACGCTTCCAAAAGCTTAAGAGGCTTAGTTACTTCGTGTTGTCCCGTTCACCAGAAATTAGCCATTCGCAGTGTAATGCTATCGCAGATTCAAGATAACAAACTGGAAATCCTTTAAATTAGTTTCCAAAATTGACTAACGTACAATGATCATCCTGGATGATGATGGGTAATTACCGTAGAGAACACGCCCCTCATCACTTAGTCTTGGCTGTTCCGGTGTATAGGGTTTCATATCGCTCTGACGCTCTGTCAGTTTCGAGCTAGTCAACGCTTTCCCGCCCACATCACCACCTCGACGTTCTCGAGCGGTTAATGTCTCCTTTCAGTTGGAGAAGCATAACCACTTCAACAGCATAAGCAAATTAAAGCGCAATTACCGGCATTACGAGTCTCCAATGCATGCATGACAACAAAGATGAAATTGAATACCAAATGTTTGCAGCTCATGTTCCCCTGACCACCAGTGAACACCTAAGAGTTTGCAGGTAACAAGAGGCTCTATTGGTGTTCCATCGATTAAGGAAGCTGGCATCGTCTTCCTCCGTTTGTCTGAATTGGGAATTGGATCTTCTGAAATTTAGGATTCTCTTTTCTTGGCGTTTAGAAAAAGGCCCATTGCATTGATCCAACTCGAAACTACAGCTAAGTGCAAAATTTAGTTTCTCTGTGCAGTTCGCGTATTCGCATCTCTGGCTGAGACTGGAATATTTTTTCAACACCCTGGGAGGGATAATATGGCATCCTGTAGCTCTCCTGATGTTAAATGACTTTAGTGATTCCGGCTTAAACTTTAGTTTCACTTACTGAGCTGAAGTTGAAAAATTCATTGAGAGAGATATTCTTTTTGATGAACTGGAAAGGAGCACTAACGTGATCATTCAGGTCGCTCACAGCCGGTGCGCTTATGCTAAAAGAATGTCTACTTAGGATATCTGCAATCTTGTTGTGTTTTTAAATAATAATTTTGCCTTCAGTTAATTGAATAGTTTCGGACATTGCTCGGCGAAGTATCCATTGATCTTCTCAGGCTAACAACGCGATTTCCCTATTGCCGACACTTTTCCCATTCGCTTCGATCTTTCATGATATAATACTTGCTCTTGAATTGATTTCAAAAGTGAACAGTGGCTATCACTCCAGAGTTAAAGCAGGGCGGTTATAGTTTCGTGCTTTTCTTCTTTACCAAGGAAGCATGATCATCAAGCACGTCTCTTTAGCAGTTTTTCTCATGCGCAGTACACATCACTAATGTCTTAAAGGTGCTTGCAACAGCGAAACGAGTTAAAAAACATCGTTGTATCTCACAGAATTGAATTTCTAAAAGTTTCTTCTCATAAAAGTCTTGGGACCCCTTTTGAGGCACGCAGCTCTCGTAATTGCACATACCAGATGATCATCAGTTATATCTGGGTTGAAAACACTTTCGTGCAAGGATTTAATTCTTTTGAAAGTTAGAATTACGTCAATTAGAGTGTGGCTATTCGCCGTAACTCTAGTTGACGTACTAACAAGCCTTTTAGATTGTATATTGTAAACGTAGTATAGGTTTAGCAGATGTCTCCCCAACTTTACCGTTCCTTGTCGGGTTCCAAAATGTTACCATTCACGTCTCTAATTAGAGTGTAATTGTCCGAAAGCCTGCTGATCAATTCAATTGGTCGTTTCCGTTCGGATGACCAGATTTCTTTGGCCATTTTGAACGGTCTGTAAAGACGAATCCAAAGTAGATGTCTATGAATCCTTTTGAATTCTGACCTCAGTGTTTATTTATTCTAAACCAACGAACTGTTGTGGCATTTTTAATTATAACGCGCTTTGTTTAAAGGTCGCACCCTGCATATATTATGAGGCCACCTTTGTAATTTGTTCTATCTTGTCGATTTGGCTTGGATCCTTTAGCATAGAACTGGCTTTCTGGATAGCTGTCATCGATTTTGGAGTCCGAGAGAACTAGAATATCTGACAAATTGTTTATCAGCATGTTCTTAACCTCGAAGAGCTTGATTCCGCCGACGCTGTTTGTTTTCTTGTGGTAGGAAGAAGCGAAATAAACTAGCTCGAAAGTGCTTTCTAGGAAAAGAAACCATCTCAAAAACTTCGCTCATCGTAATTGGTCTTATTTCACGCGTCTCCAAATCGGTTTTTTTTTTTTACCCTTTTTCTTCTTTTCTAAGCAAAGTAATCATTCTTGAAGTTCTTTTCATTGGAAAGATCCCCAATCATTACAACAACGTGAAAAGCTTAATAATTGACTATTTCCGAAGTTCTACACTGAATCAATTTCCCTCTCTAATATTAAATTAAATAATTCTGGATAGTCAAACTTGATTGCGAGTACTTCAAAACAAACGACATGTTGTTTATCGTAGATGAGATCGTCTGTCGAAAGGTTGTTCCAACTCAAGCCACAGCCACATCCACAGAAAAACCCACTAATAATTCATTGCCAAAGGCTTTCGTTTATCTCATTCAAACAGAACAATGCCTTCCTTCAAACTTTGCCTCTCCTTCCGAGATCGGCGACCCCGAGACGTGTAAATGTGATGTCATGGTGCTAAGCTATCGTACCAAATGTCAAGTGCAAAAGCCGCCTCACATCACTTATTTGTTCTATCCCAATACTGGATGGGGAACAGGACGAAATGTGCTGTATTTTGCTGCAATTACGAGATCCCCAAAATACCATTATTACATTTTTATGGATGATGATGTGGTACTACATTTCAATTCATTTGCTTCGCCACAAATGAAGAGGCTTCCGCCGTTTAGAGTCTTCGAACATTGGCTCCTAGATTACGAGCCTGTAGTTGGAGTTGTGGATTACAAATTGCATCATGGGGCCATCTGGACCAATAACTTACGAAAGAAAATATGTAACAAGACGGACAGTCCCCTTGTGATACCAACAGTATGGTATGATGCCCTTTTCAATGCATTTCATTACAAATCTATCGAACATCTCTTCCCTTACCGTACGCAATATCAAAACATAAGCTGGTGGTCATCGCAAAGGTACATGTTTTCTGCTGTGGAACTGATATTTCGAGGCCAGGCATTAATGTTTGTGCCTGTTACTACGGGAAATCCAAAACATCGCCCATACCCAAGGTCTCTAAAGGACGCAAACTGGAGAGATTACATCGATACGATTCGAAAGGAAGCTCCTTTAATTTACAGAAATCGAACTTTATTCGAAGAATTTAAACAGAATCTTGCAGGTTACGTTATCAACACGAAAACATATTGCATGAATGTAACACGGCATCAACAGATTAAACCATACGCTCATTTTGATTTTAAGACAGAGATGTAGTTGTTGAGGTTAGTGAAGAGGTAAACTATAGTTCCCTATTCTTTCTTATTCTGGGCTCAATCAGTGGATAAAATGCTAAACCCATTCAATTATAAGCCCCTTTGTTTGTTTATAAACTTGTTGAACTGTAACAAAGTTTCAACAAAGTGATGTTCGCGAGGAGAATTAGGACTGAACCGCTAACACATTGGAATCAAACCATTTTTCACTTGGTCGGTTGCATTCATTTTATTTACTGAGGAAGTATTTCCTGAGCCATATTTTATTCACTATATCTGTGTGTTAGTACTTTCCCTATGACTGGGGAGTGTAACGGGCCTTATTATTATTATTATTATATTACTGTTCAGACCTCTAAATAAAAATTTTTATTCTAACCGAAATCACCGCTCTCTGTTTGAATCCAGAGATTTAGTAACCTCGCTTTCTCGATCCGTATTTTCAATAAGTTAGAGAACCTCGTTGAGGGCCATCAGAAAGGGAAAGACTCGGGCCTTAACGAACAGAAGTGGAGGTCAGTAAGAGGTCTATTTCTTCACCAATAAAAAGTGTGCATTAAATTATCGTAACCAACTGCGTTTTGAGATGTCAAAGGGTGAACAAACTTTTCGGGGATTAGACTTTGAACGGTGCCATTGTAAAAACATCGATCGTAGTAACCTGGCCTTAAATTCAATTCATAATCATTATGTAAGCTTCAAAAAGGCTGCTGCTTTGTTCCTCCACACAAAAAAAAAATTGAGTTGAGAATGTCTTTTTGAATGAGAAAACAGCAGAGACTTTTCATAAATCACGATTAAGCAGCCAGGCTGTCATGCATGATTCGATATGGTTCCGGTCGTTGTCCATTTTTAGTACATATGACAATAAATACCGAAAGTTAGTTTGTCTTAGGGGTGAGGGGGGGACTTAATTATTTTCTGGTGAAAGCGGGAGTTAAATTACTGCCAGTGTGACGTCACTAGCAACAAAACAAGCAAGAAAGACTCTTGAGTGTTAAGCTTGCTGCCTTGTGTTTTGAACTTGTGATCACCGAAAACTCTCTGTAGTTTTTTTCTTCGTGGACTTTGTTATGATATTCTGTATATAGCGCTGGTATATTACTATGCAATATCATATTTCTTATTAGTCTAAATGATTTCATAATTTAGGCAACGGGCTGGGATGTATTTTTAAAAGGTTTCTCTCCATGTCTCTGTCTTTATTCATAATAAAGTTCGAATACATAACACACATGTCATTGGTTGAAAGAGCGTGCTCTATCAAAGTACAAAGCATAGAACTGAGCTAAAGCTATCACGCCATCTTCCAAATGGTAATATGTCCGACCTTTTTCAGGACTTCTTTCAAGCTTTTCGTTAATTGAAAGTGAAATTTCGTAACAAGCGAGAAGGCAAGTAGCAACAGAAAAAATAAACAAATGTTTATAAACATGTCAAGCGCCGTAATTTACCTTATTATAACGTAAGCAGAGACGAAAATTCCTTAAAGAGAAAACTAAAGGACAGTCCGATTTTGAAGGTTTTCACGCTCGGTCAGATAGCAAGCTTAGGTACGATAATAAAAATCAAACACAGCTAAATTTTCGCATAGTACATACAGTTTCGTATTCGAAAACAAAACAGAACAAAACAGCAATGATGAAAAATATAGCTAAACTGGCATAGCTGTTAAAATTCATTTTTATCATGACGGTGTCAGAGCGACTGCGATCATACTGAGGTCCATTGTGGCTAGCTCATCATTTCAATCTCCGGTCATCGCAGTCAAGAAAGCCTCAGAAGTTACATCGGCCGCCCTTCGAGTGAACGACTAAGAGCTTACACTGATATCCTTTCTGATGCGTTGTGTGGAAGGCCACCTTAGTCACAGCAGGTAAGTTTTACGGCGCTGTCATCCCAAGTAATCTTTATTTTCTTGTGAATTCGGCTGTCGCTCATTCATAAAACACACGCCTTGAGCAGTTTGTTTTCCAACTGTCATGAAAAAACTTGCGTGTTTTTATGAGCCACAATTTTGCTGGATTTCATTGAACATTTCAATTTCAGATTCTGTTTTAGAGACTAAAGAACTTCAGGCAAACGTGTTAAATTCCACCAGATTGTGAACTTTGATGGTTTGTGAACTTTAATGGTTCGACATTTTTGACAGTTTTAGATTTAGTCTTCTTCAACCAATCAGATTATTTGAACCATTCTCACAAGGATTCTGATGGCTTAATGTGGCGTTCGCTTTGAAAGTAAATTTTGTTTCGAAAAGTGAAAGTAATGCACGGGTAATTTAACGGATTCTTTATTATAAAACAAACAGAAAAGCCTTGACTGTGCTCTGGTTAGTTTTGAAGCACTAAGAAAGCGGTTAGAGTACTCAAAAAGTGGGGAGAAACACTACGTCTTCCTACGCTTTTCTCGTGCTCTGGCCGCTTCCTGAGTGCTTTACAACAAAACAGAGCACAGTCAAGGGTTATCTATTTGTTAATAACCGTTTTTTCGATGACCGCCATATCTGTTCATATTGTAATATGAGACCTTTCTTTCACTTTCTTAAGCTTGTAAAATCTTCCAAATTTTTTCTACATTCCTTTGAAGGCTTATGAGGAAAAAGGAATTTTTTCTTTTAGGGTATTTTTAAAACAGAGTGTTTCTCAATCAAAATCTGTATGTAACTAAGGTACCCACTCTGTCATTGTATTTTCTTTAATAATACTACAAAGTAGGGTTTGTTTTTAAAGCATTGACCAGTCAAACCTTTTGTTTTGTTTAAGCCTTCATTTGCATTTCTATTAACTGAACTTTCTATCTACCTATCTATCTATCTATCTATCTATCTATCTATCTATCTATCTATCTATCTACGATATCGAAATTGTGTAAGCTTGCGTTGCTTGACGGTTTGCGGTATTCCTCTACAAGCATGAGAGCGAGGCAACCGTGAAAACGAGGCGGCTGATAAGAAAACAAATAACTTGGTTTGCTCCTCGTAAGTCTCTTAGCTCTCTGCTTCTCGTGGTGCGAAGCTTGATTGAAAATCATGAAGAATTGCTCTCCTCCTAGAATGCTCAAAGTACTTACAAACGCACATCATTCGCGGTAGACCTGCATTCAATCAATGAGGTTTAATACATCATCTTACCTTTACATTACCTTGAATCCTGCATAGATTTAATCAACCTATACCTTCAAGGATTTAAGCTCGGTTAATGTTTATGCTGTTATGATATGTATGATTAATGATTGGATTAACAAGTTAATCGAAATTTATGTAGATAAAAAAAAACCCTGCACAAATATGAGTAAACTGTACCATCAAGCATTGAAGCTCGTGATGTTTATGCTGTAATGATATGTATAGTTAATGATTGAACTCGTTATCAACATCTTATTTAAAATTAATATAGATAAGAAAATCCTTCACAAATATAAGTAAACTGTAACATCAAGCATTTAAACTCATTTAATGTTTCTTCTTTTATAATAATCATTTTCAGCGTTTCAATAAAGCTTGAACTATTCATTTGTTGATTGACCATTTCACCTTTATTTCATTTTCAACCTAGCGTATCCCCAACGTTTTATCCAGGGTTTTTGTGATTATTAGGATTCCTAGAAAACATTTAGCATGTGCAATACTGGGGCGAATTTAGTTTTACAAGGATATGGGAGACCTCGAAACAAACATAGTATACAGGATATTTGGCTATCTTTGCAAATTCACCTAATGAACCCTTGATTTTCATTTCCTTTAAATTAGCATAGTAGTAGATCCTAATTTTCATCGGAAGAGGGTAAAAGGTGTGCCATGTCCGGAAACAAATGTGAAAAAAGCAATGGATGTGCATGTGTACGAAGGTAAACTTGCCAATTTTGGTATATTGTTGCAGATAGATAATATGTTTTAAACATTTCATTTGTATTTGATAACAAAGGCCACATTCGCTTTCTACAAGCTTAAATTTTGGGAGGTATGCTCAAACGCTCAAAGCCTTATCCTCAAACGCTTGAGATACGCTCAGTGCTCTCGGCAAATGGAGTCTCTTGGATTTCTTTTAGGTGTTTGATATTTAAACGCCCAAGATCTAATTTATAATTCTCTTTACTTTCTGCCATACAATTTTTATGATGCTGTTTCTGAGAAATTGGCGTTGGATAATCTAGAAAATCCTTAAAGTTATAATTTTTTATCCTCATCACCTGCCTGATTTATGATGTCTGCTTGTCTCCAGCGCCTATGATTGTCTTCATTTGCTGCGAGGAGATTTCATCTGCAAGGCTTTCTTCAAGTCAGGGATATTTCTCTTAGGAGCCTGACTCTGTCACCTTCATTCTTTAAGCCGATAACGAGCCTGTCCCCGGAAAGGAAAGGAAACAGCATCAGGACGACATCTTCAGCGTTTGGTGTTCGAAAAAAGGTGTAGAATTCTCAAATAATATACTTTTTCTCCTGAAGCCATTTTAATATATGTGACCCTTAAACCTAGTGGTAAGGTTATAAAAACACGTTTATTTTCGGGCTTCCTTTCTACCGATCCACTCACATTCAAGAAGCGATCATTGAAACACATGGCGTGATCATATTGGGAAGTGTCAATCACACTTCCCCTTTTCTACAAACACGATATTACACTGATACTATGTGAAGTGTTCTAAGAAAGTGTTCTAATACTTTATAGAATGTCACTGCCCGGTGGACGAAAGTAAAAGAAACAAAACGTTTACTTATTGTCTATCCATGTTTGAACTTTAAGCGTACTTGTCAGCAGGACTGATTCCTTCTAGTTGAGTGTTCGAAGTTCCTTCCGCGTTCGCTCTTAGACTTGCGTCGCGCTTGTTTCTCCTCAAAAGAGAGTTCTCTGTATTGACGACGACAGATCTTGGTGCCTGTGATCTGCGAACAACCACCTCAAGGGTTTTGTTGTCTGGTATCCAAACTTTGTCGCCCATGTTCAAGTCAGGGAGGACTGACGCTCGATGACGTATGTTGTAGTTATCAGTTTGTTGAAGCCTTTTCTTGCGTTCTGTCTTCTGCAAACGTTTTAAGTTTGGCAGTTTGGGAATTAGCTTTTCTGGTGACATTGAAAGGGTAGAGCGTATTTTCCTTCCCATAAGTAGTAGTTCTGTAGGGGTGTATCCATTCTCCGGTGATGTCGATCTGTATGACAAGAATGCTAAATATGGATCTTCTGGTTTCTTAGCTATTTTTTTTGGCAGTCTGAACTGCTCTTTCCACCTCTCCGTTGCTCTGCGGGTAGGTAGAGCTGCTTGTGATGTGAGTAAAACCTCATTCTTTTCCAAATTTTGAAAATGGTAAATAAGTCTGGGACAACCTTTTGCCAGGGTCCTTCTGGCAACGCTATAGCATTCATGGGCTCAGCATGGTTTTTCCGATGTTTGCAGCAGGTTGGGCAGATTTTTATTATGTCTTCGATCTGATTACCAAGGTCAGGCCACCAAACCGACTCGCGGCCTCTCTCACGATATCTACATATTCCTTGATGAACTGCGTGAATTTTATCCAGTATGTCCAGAAATGAAGGAATGATTCATCTTGTATCTTTCATTAGAATACCTCTTTGGGCGGTATTGCCGGTTCTTTCTGGCCAATAAGCTTTAAGAGCTCCATTAGCTTCTATCTGGCCAACCTTCGATACAGAATTCTTGACGTTCTCTGTGTATTTCATCCTCTTGTTGGTGGAGTCGTATTTCTTCCAATCTCAGTTCTATCTGTAGGTGGTAGACTTTCCTAAACGGAAGCTACATGCAGAATCCGATCTTCTGTAAAACATTTATCTTGTGGGCGGCTTTCTTAGAGGTGTTCTAGATAGGGTATCTATTACGACTAACTCCTTTCCTGGGATGTGACATTTGGTGAAAGAATACTTCGTCAGTCTGATCCTAAATCTCTTTATTCTGGTGAGTAGTTCATCAAAACTCTTTGAGCCAAATAGTGGAACCAATGGCTTATGGTCTGTCTCAATGAGGATTTCTTTTCCAAGGGTGTAATCGTTGAACTTTTCACACGCCCAAGTTGTCGCGAGTGCCTCTATTGCAATTTGTGCGTACGCTCATCTGCACTGGTCATGGATCTTAATGCATAGGCTATTGTTTTCTTGATTCTATTCTCTTCTTGTAATAGGAATGCGCCGAGTCCGTAAGATGAAGCATCAACAGACAGTATTGTCTTCTTGGGAGGGTCGTAATGAGCGAGGACTGGGGTTGAGGTTAGTTCCTGTTTCATCTTGCCATAGGTACTCTGCTGTGTGGTTCCCCATAGAAATTCATTCTTCAAGAAGAGAAGATCTCTTACTTGTTTTTCCTTTTCTGTTAGACGAGGAAGAAATTCTCCTAGCTAGTTGACAATACGGAGGAGTCTGGGCACGTCACTCACATTTTAGGGTGGATCCAT